TAAGACCGATTCTTCATTTTTATGTTATTCTTTACTGACTGAACTTTATAAACTACAAGCATATATTAATTTTAGAGTAGAGCAACTTAAAAAAGTCCAAAACACAAAGAATATGCCCAAGTTGTCAGCATTACTTTTTCAAAGTTTCGAAATGTCTTTATTTTCTGACAACACAAATGTTCTTTTTATCAGATCCAAATTGGCAGCACATCTTAGTACAGAAGTTCTAGAAGAAGCCAGAGGAAGACACGTATCTCCTCATACTCCCCTTTCATGCAGGTAGCTGCTAATTTGTCTGGGGACCTTGGCCTACTGCAGCGAACAACTACAACTTTCTTGTAAAGTGCAAGTGCCAGTGACAAATACTGTTGTCGCCTAGGAGCACCTAAATGTACCAGGGGACGTGCTGGAAGGTGTCTGGCACATTCAGCAACAGAGAAAAATGTGTTCTACCAGGAGGTTTGGAAGAGGCGGTGGCTGCCAAGATAGTAAGAGGGATAATTTTACTTTTTCTTGTATGCTTTGAACATAAATCATTTCAGAAGGGATGATTATTGAGGTTTCTTTCCCTCTTTAAAGTATAGAGAATAAAGCTAAGTGCACTGGTGTGTGCCTGTAGTCCCAGCTACTCTGGAGGCTGAGACAGGACAATCACAACTTGAGCCCAGCAGTTCATGGCCAGTCTAGACAACACAGTGAGACCTCCATCTCAAAAACAGTAACAACTCAAAAGTACAGTATATAGAATACAGTTCTTAAAATTTCCATGTGAAGAAGGCACAATGAAACAAACATTAAAGGGGGATATTAAAAAAAAAATGCTGTGACACAAACTCTGGCTAACCGTAGGTAACAACTGTCATCAACTGCTGCCAGAGTTTTAGGTACCTGGCCTGAAAATATGGAGGCTACCCTCTTAATTAGCAGTGTCATTTGAATGAATCTCTTAGAACTTTCTGGATTTCAATTTCTTCATTTGTAGGATGCAACAGCTGAATAAGACTTGCACTCCTCCTGTCCCTGGCACCAGTTCTGTAATTCTGAGCTCAGACCTCCCACAATCCTAGTCACTTTTATCAGAGACTGTTTTTCATGTTCTTTAAAAAACATACCTTATACATGATAAGAGAAGACTTGCATGTGAAATTAAACCTCTGATAGATTTTATGGTATGCTTGTAAGGCAGAATCTTGATAAAATCAAGCCATTTGCATTTTGATGAAGAACTAAACTTAAGAAATGCAACCAGCCAGTTGGTACAGACCCTCAGGTCCACATTTCTCAAGGGTTGGCTGTCAGCTCCATGACTCAGTATATGCAAGGCATTCTAGAGCCTGGGGGAAGCATTATGTTTATGAGAGACTTCTTTTTACATGAGCATAGATCATTACATACACTTTCTCACACAGGGAATTAACACACACAGTCTAATTTACATATGGCAAATTCCTAGGGAGAGAAATGTCTATAGGATTCTATTCTTTTTTTAATTTTAATTTTAATTTGAGTGCCAGGGATCAAACCAGGGCCTTGTATGGATAGGCAAGTACTCTACCACTGAATTACATTCCCAGATCCTGTGTAGAATTCTATTCTACGGACACACATATAACTGATCAGATTACATTCGTCAATTAAAATTCATCAGTCATAAATTTTAAAGCCTAATTTGAATTACATCTTCTCTATGTGAATTTTTCTCTTTCCTCGCCCAAATGGAGTCTTACCTTCTTTATGCATTTTTTATTACTGCTTTTGTGGGGATTAAATCCAAGGTTTTGTGAATGTTATCCAAGTAATCTACAACTGAGCTACATTCCTACCTATTTTATTTTGAAATCTATTTTAATTTGCACATCTTGTAGTCCCTTGATATCTATTAGAATTAGGGCTTAGATATGTGAGATTAGCCTGAAACAGACCTTAGGTTGGCCAAATCAAGCTGGCTATTTAAAGAAGTGGTGCTAGGAGATGAATATAAAGGTATGCCTGGAACATGGAGCTCAAAACTGAAAATCACCTACAGTCTAAACTAAAGTCACATGTAGTAAGTCCATCTTTGTAAAAGAAAGGCATGGGCAGTAAGAACTCAGAAGTCACTACCATTTGCTGCATATTTGTTATAATAGCCTCGATCTAAAACATTTCCCTAAGATTCATAAATCTGGTGTTGAACTGCCAATAACGGAACAGGCAGTTTACTGTAACCTCCTAGAGAACCTGGCTTTCTATGTCTGCCAAACTTTTCTTGCTTCTTTGTATTCTCCAGTCTGGTGCATCCTGCAGGTAGTCTCTAACCAAGGCTATCAAGTGTCTTGTCCTCTTACAATTCTATCACACATACAACTTTAATTACATACAAAACCAGACCTGCCGTTTACACTGCAGTAGTATAGATACTACTGAAGAGAAAAATCCAGCTGTACGTATTTTGGGTCAACAGCTCCCAGAACACCTGAAGAGTATTTTTACATGTCTCAAAATGAGCTCCTACCTTACTCCTTTATCCCTCACAGAGTAGACTATGCTTTATTTTGGAAAACAGAGAGATATTCTTATTTCTAGACTTTGACTTTATCGACATATCCCCATCTGTTTGTCTGAGGTGCTGCTCTAAGCTTGGCTCTGCTGACATATTATGCTAGTTAATTCTTTGTTGTGTTGTAGGAGGTTGGGCAATGTCCATGATGTCTATACACTACAGAGATGCCAGTAGTATCCCCCTGCTTGTAGGTGAAGTAACAAAAATCTCTATACATTGCCAAGTGTCTCCTGGGAGGCAAAATCACTATTAGTTGGGAAGCACTGGTCGAAGCCAAGATACATCTATTAACTTGTTTTTCTGGTAATAATAAAACAAGCCCTCCTACTGTATTGTGTCCTTGATGTCTTTATTTATCTTGAACCAGTCCACTGGTTTTACCTCCATAGCACATTAGTTTATATCTCTTCAATTCTGGAAGAACCATCAGACATTAGGCCTTCCTTCAGCCACTGCTCAATCTCTCTCTCCCCCTGCCTTTCTTCTTTGAAGTCAAACTTTGAGAATGGCTTCTCTGAGTTCACTTGCTTGTCACTTCATTGCTCCTGGCACAAAGCTATCAGGGTTCTCTTGACTAACAAATAATTCAAACAACCTAACTGCTTGACTGTCTGGTGTGTCTAACTCATAGCCTATGGACTGTTTCCATCCAAGGATAGTGATGATGGCCCAACACAAAATCATAAACTGATTTAGAACATTTAAGATGTATGTGTGTGTGTGTGTGTGTGTGTGTGTGTGTGTGTGTGTGTGTAACTCAGCTACATGGTTTTCAAGCCTGAACTTTGTAGATGGCAATGTTGTGTTGCAATGTGGAATGGTTGGATGAGCCTAGATATGCTCTTTGATTCTCTCTTAGCTTTCAGGGCACCTCTTTTTGTTCCCCTCTGGTGTTTTCCTTTCCCTTTATTCCTTCACAATCCGCTCTTTAACTTCCCTTAATACACTTCCCTTAATAGTAGTATCAGCTGGGTTCTGCTTCAACTCCACAAAACAACTATAAAACTCTTTCAGGGCCAATGCCTTCATCACAAGCTTCCAGTTTTTAGAAAATACACAATACGATGACTGTTCAAACTCCTCTTCATTTGATTCTGGCCTTCTACTTTCTCTAAAATTCTAACCCTCCATTTCTGGCCACTTGTGAATATTTCTCCATGGGGTCACTAAAAATACCAGTTTACAAATGGGAATATCTAAAGCAAAATTTGGCAGCTCCTACCTCCCACCTTGTCTCTCTAGCTCCAAGTCTTCCCAGGTCATTTCATTATTTTTGCAGCACGACTACCTATTCAGATGTAAAAAAAATCCAAGGATCTTAGAAATATCCTAGGCTTTAACCTCAGTAGTTAATGAAATCAATCAAAATCCTGTCAATCATAGCTTATACCTCCCTCCCACCCCCACAAGCCTTTTCTATTTTATATTTATCTATCCTTAATTAATTTCCTTATCCTAGGTTTTAGCTACCTCTATTTAAATCATCTGTGCTGCCACAGTGCTGATTATTTTTATTATGAGAATCCTTTTATATAATTTCCTGGGTCACCTCCCCCAGATGATCCCCTTTGTTTGGAGGATAAAATCTAACTGAGCATTTTAGCAGGGAACACTAGGCTGCTTGTGGCCTGGTGCCCATATTTCTCCTATCTTTTTCCCTGTTAGACCTATACTCCCTAGATGTGATCATAATATACCAACCCTCCTTATTCAAGTTATCCCTCTTTGGGAATGTTTTGTATGATTACATAATCTATATTAAATTCTAGAAGTTTCAGGCCTAACATTTTCTCCCCTGGGAACTCTTCCCAGTTTTCCCAGAGCAGAATGAAAGGCTTGCTTCCCATGTGTCACCAATGTACTATGCATATCATCTTCATTATAGTTCCCAAAAGAACTGTTGGAATTGTCTGCTCACAGGTGGCTCACCATCAGCCTGCTGGTCCCTTCAGGCATCTCTGAGAGACCTGAAGGCACAGGTATGAAAAAATACATGGCATTCCCCTGGCTGCTAATACTTAAAAATGTCTTGGATTACCAGCAAGTAAAAGGAATACTCAAGAATGATAGAACATCTTTATTTTGTGAACTCCTGTGACCCCTGGCATAAATGTGTACGTTCCAGGTAGGGCTGGTAACTGTCAGCATGACAGGCGAAGATGCAAGTCAGAGTGGAATAGCAAGCACACCAAAGGCACAAACCCCACTTTGGGCCCTTGTGCCAGTACTTAGGCTGTGACTTGGGGTCTACTTTATCTTCTCTGAGCCTCCTTAGTTTCCTTATCTGGAAAATGGCTATCATATCCGTCTCAGACATTTCTTATTGGTGCCCAGGTCAAAAGAAGTAACAATGTAAACAATGAAAGATCCTTAAGCGTGAAAATAAAAGAATATTTTTTTTTTTACAGAGTGAAAAAAATCAAAGTATATATACAACACACATTCTTGAAAAACTTACTTTTTGAGAAGCTGAAGTTTTTTCTGTTTTGGGTTTTTCCTTGGGAGTTAAAGGAGGGGATCGTTCCTTCACTTCTGGAGGAGATTCTTGATACAATGCTGGAATTTAAAAAGGAATTCGTAATTAAAATTAGGAACACTGTTCTATAGGAGAACAAAAACAATGGGTGGTAAGAATTTAAAGAGAAATTGAGATTTAATTCTTTGGTGTTAACAGCAAACCATGTGGTACTTATTTGTTATGGCAATTTGCAGTCTAACCCATTAGTTATGACTGGAAAATTTTATTCACCAGGATTTCAGAAATGTAGAAGGTATGAAATTGCTTACTATATGGTCATATAGATTTAATTCATTTTACCTCAACACACATTTATCAGGAACCTGCTGTATGCAAGGTTATCTGCTGGGTACTGCTAAAGATGACAGTCTCTGCTCTCAAGGAACTATAATTTGGTTAGAGACAGACATGCTCATAAGTTAACTGTGACACAAATAAAATGTGGTATCATTTGAAAGACAGCTAATAGCAAGGACAAAGTGGTTTGTGGGCAGGAAAATGTTGAATGCAAGAAGTGGTAGATGTGTTAGGTTTAAAGAACAGTTATGATTGTTCCAGAAGGGATAAGTTAGGAAAATAGAAGGAATAAACATGAATTTAGCAATATACCTAAGGTGTTAAATGTAAAACTCTTTTTGGGGGGTCTTTTTGAGATAGGGTCTCCCTGTAGCCCCAGCTGGCCTCGAACTCACAGAGATCCACCTGACTCTACCTCCCTAGTGCTGGGATTAAAGGTGTGCGCCACCATGCCTGGCTAAATGTAAAACTCTTAATCTAAGACTATAATTTACTGAATCTACTGAGTATTACATCTAAAAAGTCATATGGGAATCTTAAGGGCTAAAATGAAAATCTATTTTAATCAATTACCATTGTGAATTGAGAATTTACCAAAATGAAATTAAACAAAATGGTACAATTCCGATTCTGAGACATATTAACTGGATTTAGGTATGGGTTGGTATTATTCTTGGGTTTCTTTATATCTTACAGAAAAGGGTGTTACATGTGATTAAGAGAAGCTCATCACGTTTCTTTCTCCAGTAGCTGGTGATACAAAGAAGACAGATCTTCCTAGAAACAGAGTCCTGTCTTCTTTTATTCTGCTGCTCTTTTCAGCACCTGGGCTCTCCACTGAACAGTGGGGAGGGATTCTGCTCATATATGCTCTCTTACATTTGCTTTATATATTTGGCTTCAGATACAGATCAAGGACAATTCCTCCCACTATTTTTAGAATGAAATATCTGTTGAGAGTCATTTTCCTACAATGTTAAAACTGGGCAGTTGAATTTTTTGTTGAATTCAAGCAACAAGTAGGATAAAAGGTAAGGAAAATCACCTCTGATAAAGGGTGAGGTTCAGTCATTATAGTCCCAGGCATTCTGAGACTTTCGTGTTTGTTCTCACACAAGGCTTTCCAAGAGGCAATGACTGATACCAAAGGAAAACATCAATTATTGTAGGCTATAGTAAGAAATTATGACAACTGCAGGGTAATCCTGACTTGAAACGAGGGATTAATTCTGCACACAACCATCAACTATCATTGCAATATGTTCCAAAGCTCTGATTTTGGTAATTAGGAGAGAAAACAAAACTTAGATTTTAACTCGCTGTAGATCAACATTTGTAGACTCTCAAGAGTGGCAAGCCTAAGAGGTTCATTTTGCAAACTATCTGGTTAAAGTTCCTAATGCTATGCCGCCTGCAGACACACAACCTTTTCATATTGCCAAGTGAAAACAAAACCGTAAATGTTTTCACTGGTATCTGAATGGAACAAAAGGTTGTAAGACCTAGTAAAGACTACAGACATCCTCCTGGGTGACTGCCGTCTGACAGCTTTTGATTTAGAAACAGAAGCTAGTGCTGCTTAACCTCAGATACAATCCTGCTAGAGAGCCATTACTGGGAAAGGCAGAGAGGTAACATGGATATTTGTGACAATCTGGAGTTAGAAGTGTTGAGCTTATGGGAAATTATTTGAATGCTGTCTTAAGTCCACCTGGGAATAATCTTCTTTCTACTCTGCTTTAAGTTTTTTCCATTATACATTCTCTTTAAACATGAAAACAATGTGCTGCTACTAGTTTTAGAAGCTATTAGTCATTTACTAGAGAATAAACCAGTGACAGAGAAAATGAACTGTGTTGTAGGAGAGAGAAGTGAGTAATTTTTGTAACACTGGACACTTTTAAGGGAAGGAGTTTCCTGGAGCAGTAGACTAGCTCAGGAAGGGAACTGCAGTGAGGGACAAGAGTGGAGCTCTGGGAAGAACGAACATGCAGAAGCAGAGGGAGGACACCAGAGAAGTCATTTCAGCGAGACATAGCCCAGCACTCGGTAATCAAGACAGACATTCTTCTTCGTTTTTTTTTTTTACAAACAGCTCTTTGATTCTCAACATTCAGAACTAGGCTAGGAATTAACAGTACATTTGTTGTAAGTTAACAGTCATAATTTGTTTTAAATGGAGTTTAAGGACCAGCATGAAAACCAACTATTAGGTATAATAATTTCTTTGTAGAAACGAGAATATTCAAAACAGTGTTTTTACTACATTTATTTTATTTTATTATTTTTATTTTATATAAAATATTGCTTGCATGTATGTAAGTGCATCCATGTTGTGCAATGACTGCAGAGGTCAGAAGAGGGCATCAGATCCCCTGGAACTGGAGTTAGGGGTGGTTGTTAGTTGCCATGTGGGTGCTGGGTCCTCCGCAAGAGCAATCAGTGCCTTAATTGCTGAGCCATCTCTCCAGCCCCTTTACTACATTTTAAATCAGAATCATGTTAGTGTCTTAGAAAGAGAGCTCATTTGATATGTCTCAGTATTTTTACTTCACAGGAGAAATCATACAGGTCAGTATAAACTGGTGGGCATGGGCTAGAGGCTGGTTTTCCTGACAGGGTGCTGGACTTTCCCTAGCAGTCACTGGTCAGCTGGTAATAGCATGCATTCTTCTGTACAGTCACTTCTACACGTTTCCCCTTTCATGATGGTTTTGCTTCATTTCAGGCTTTCTGTGTTAGTTCTATTTTTGCATGTCAAAGCCTAGCAATACATCCAAGGTTCTGATGCTCTCATTCAGAATTTCTTCTCTAGTTCATTTTTCTTTTCATAAATGGTTTAATGGACTTGAGAATGAAACAACCCCCGTACTTTTGTTTCAGCAGGTACCTAGCTAGGGCTGAGATATGTAAACATGGACGAGTGGGAGTTAAGGAACTGGAGATTCTTAAGACGCTGGTCAACTGAGGCGCTCCTGTGGCAGGAGAAGAGCTGACGACATTGCGGCAGGTGGCAGGGCTGGAGACGAAGAAAGCAGCTTGCTCAGGGGCTCCCTGGGATGGCAAAGTGCAATCAGCAGACATTCCAATCTCAGAACTTAGTAGTTTTTTGACACACTAATGCCTCATTTTTTTCAGCCTTTGCATCATGAGAGAAAAGTAATGCACATTGGTAAACACATACAAGGATTAGACAGATAATAAATTCAAGGGTAGAAAATGATAAAATCTTGGACTCAGTTATACCATATTAGTGAACCAGGAAGAGAGCATAAAACTTACTTTCACTAGCCACATGATTAGCTGGAAAAAAACCTTCCTGTCCCTTTCCTAGGCTGCCATACCACCAGTCTTCATTATCTTTGAAAAACACTCGGATAATGTCTCCGCGATGGATGGATAGTTCATCTGATCGGCTCGCTGTGTAGTCATAAAGAGCCACTACCTAAGAGAGAGATAAGACCACCACAGCTTTATCACAACTGTGCCACAGAGAAAGCCCCAACACTCACTTCCTCTTATAGAAGGGCAGCTGAAACCAAAGCAGTACTTTGGTAAGTCTGAGGCTGTCTCAAGGGTTGCTAATGGGATCTGGGGTGGTGGGAACACAGCAGGAGAGGCAAGATAAAAGACTGTGGGATTGAGAAATGGTTAAGAGCATTCAACACACTAAGATTAGCTTCAAAATAGCAGATGTGAATGTTTTAAAGTAAATTACTTTGAAGCAAATGAAAAAAAAAAAAAAAAAACCAAAAAACAAAAACCACCCTCATACACCATTCCTTCTTAGAAGCGTTTTATACTACACCTTTAGGCCCATTCTCTGTGCTATGCAGCTGCATATGAAAGAGAATTCGTCAAGTTATATGTTTTATAGAAAAAGAAAAGCTCCCTGGACAACCTGACTACATAACTCCATTACCATCACTTGGTTTATGGTTAATGTTTCTTTTTGAGAGAAACTTTTCTTAAAAAGAAGTTTTTGGTGTTTTTATACCAATAACCTAAATCTTCTGACTTACCTTAAAAACTGATTTTTGCTAGCTACAAATTGAGAGGAAATACCTTCCTACGAAAATCCTCTTCTTTGTGTTACTACATTTGATATGTTTTTCTTTTGGAAAAAACCAAGTCAAAATGATACTCCAGTGGCTGCACAGGTACTTAAAGTTCTTTATAGCAGTTAAAAAGAGAGAGCCCGCTCAATCCATTTTAGATCTGATACACCACATACAGTGGGGCATAATAATAGCTATGCCAATGAGCACACTTACTCTACTGATTCTTCTCTACTTAAACAGGGCTTGAAAATGTATAGGTTACATAACTATATGTAACACATCATTATATCCCTCTGCAACTAGGGTGACAAATTATTTCACTTAATGATTATTTAAATCTTAGCATGTCTTAAATCTTAGGTGCTGTGTCAGCAGTGGTAACAGGCTCATTTCTAGAAGAGGAACCCCATTTAAGATTTGTAGGAGAATTAAGAATAATCAGAAATTAGCTAGGTGAAGAATAGGGATGAGTATCTCAGCCAGGTTCCATAGCATGTCTTTCAGGGAAGAGGAACCCCAAATAGTTCAACATGGTGGGAGTCTAGTATTATGGGAGATAGCCAAAAGTAGGGGAAGCTAAACTTAAGGCAGTGAGTAGGGTCAGAGGACACATCTTGGAAGAGTTTAGGTGCAGTATGATGTTGGTGTATACTTATTTATATGAGCCCTAAGTGACTGTTGGGAAGAAAGGGGGAGATTCAGTTTAGGCATAAGCATCACAGAGGAAGTCTCATATTAGGCTTATGTCACTGTGTGGACTTCTCACAATCTAAAGTTCATCAAACTGGCATATGAAAACTTTTACTAAATTTCCCACAAAGGTCTGTTTATGAAAGAATCTCTTGACATAAAGGGGTTCACAGGCCTAACATAAGATACCCTTCTATATTTTATTCTATTTTAGTATCAATTGATTATTGTATGCGCTCTTACAGAAACAAATATAGCAAACCAAATTACATCGTAGTAGCAAACTGTGTCATACAAGTTACCGTTACCTGTCAACTTGTTCTAGGCTTTCTGTTATGGATTATATTGTACTCTCCAAAATTTAAAGATTGAAGCCCCTAGGCCCAGCATGAATGAACCTGCAGAGATGGGCTTTAAAGAGACAAAATTAAATGGTGTCATATGGGTGTAGTCCTGATTAATAGGATCCCTGTGCTTTGAGGAAGTGAAGAGCACAGATACAGAGAGGAAAAGGCCAAGTGAAGACACAGCAAGAAGGCGACTATCTGCCGCTAAGATATACCTTAGGACAAACCAACATTGCCATCTTGTACTTATAACTTCTGAAACTGTGAAAAAATAAATTTTTATTGTTTATGTCACCCAGTTTGTGGTATTCTGGTATGTAGCTTTAGCAGACTAGTATGTCCCACAACCGGATGGCATTAAGACAATTCCCTTATTACCAACTTGTCCTGGAAGTACAAATGAGTAATACCTTCCATGTATCCATTTCCAGCCCCTGTAAACATCAGTTCTGTGTTCTACACCACCAGAGTGCTATCTCCTGATGCAGAGACAAAGCCTTTCTCATCAGATTTCACAACTAGCAACCTTAGGAGGGTAAGGGTGAGGCTTCATCCTCTGAAGCAATGAAACAATCTTTGGATGATATCATTACTGTCATTTAGGTACAGAGTGGCTACAAAACAAGGAATTGCTGTTCCTGGCATGCCAACAGTCTACATCAGGCAGCGGAGTCTGACCATTTGGCTATGACTCTTCTCTTATATTGGGAGTCCAGGACAGAAACCATGTGGCTCAGGAGAATTTGGTGGTATTCCAAGGTGTGTTCTTACTCAATATGCTCTGACGTTATCATCTGAAACTCTTCTGATAATCACAGTTCAATGGCAAACTTTATTGGTTAAATTTGGCAGTAGATTCTGAATAAATTATGATCTTCCCATCTACAAGTAGATTGTATTATCTCAATGTTTTATGATGAAGTAAAACTCTGTTTAAAAAGTTGAGAAGCAAAATCCCAATAAGATGTTTGTTCCCAAGAAGATGTTAGGGCACATCTTCTTGTGTCAGGCCTCAGTATAAAAAGTCTGTCTTGAGCATTCTCAATGAGTATCTTCTGTAACACGCCATTAATTGCCCACAGTAGTTGGCATGTAACTAGGACAGAACTGTCTTCTACAATAGAATCCAAATTGTGATGTGACAGGGTAATTATGAGATCTTTCTACAACAAAAGCTTAAAGATATGAGCTAATGTGCCCATGTTGGTAATGACAGGTCTGAGGAATGAAATGTTTCATAAAATCTACTTTGTTCATATTCAGATGACCTCTCACTTTTGATGGGGTTACCTCATAATAGATATGTAAGTTGAAATATTATTAAATGAAAAATCCATTTAATACACCTAATCTATAAATGAGAAATGCATTTAATATACCCAATCTATCGAACATCATAGCATATCCTGGCATATCTTAAATCTATTTTAATGACTTATATTAAGCCTACACTTGGACAAAATCATCTAACACAAACCCATTTTATAATAGTGTTGACTATCTCATGCAATTTATCCAACAGCTATATGCATACCTTATGTACCATCATGAGTGGGGACCATATATTTGAAACAGAATTACTTCTTCACAGAAGTTCTTCTCTTTCTCAAAGCCATGTTGCTTGGACATAATCACAAGTGAAGTGCTACTAGCAAGTTTTGTCTCTGTTTTTTGAAACTGAGTCTTGCTATATTACTTAGGCTAGTCTCAAATGATCCTCTTGTCTCAGCCTCCCTAATTCTGGGACTACAGGCACACACTATCACACCCAGTTAGGTCAGTCATTTAGTCTGATTGCCCCAGTTCCCCCACTCCATCTTCTTTGTCTTGGCAGGGGAGAGTACCAGGGAGCAAATACTGTTAGCAAGTACTCTACCACTGAGCTACATGTCTAGTCCTAAGTATTGCTGAAGCAGGGTTTTACTATGCAGCCCAGGTTGGCCTTGAACTCATGATCCTCCTGACTCAACTTCCCAAGAACTGGGATTCTAGGTGTGTACCACCACAAATGGTACTTAAGCTCTGTTAACTGACACACATTTTTCAGTCTTCATAGCAGTGCTTAGTGGATACTAGCTTGTGTTTTAAATAGTTTGCCAAGTTGTTTAAGAATTAGGTAGATATTTTTCTTTATATTATCTTTCAAGAAATTAAATATTATAGCTATCTCACAAGAATTCTCAATGACCCTTGCCAGAACGCTGAACTTTATCTACAATGAAATCCAACAGTCAATATTCGTAATGCCCCAGGCCATTCAGCAAGCCAAGTTACATTGAATCATCTCTTACACCTGAGTACTTTCTCCTGCAGCAGTGCTTCAGCTGGGTTCATCATCCCTGGAGAACTTTACTCTGCTGGCCTAAAGCCAGTGTGACTGGATTCTACCACTGTCTCCATGCTCTCTCCCTAATTCACATGACTTCAGATTTCTGGCTTCTAGAATGGTGACAGAGCAAGTTTTGTTTAAGTCACCAAATCTGCAGGAGTTTGCTAGAATTGCCCTAGGGAACTGCTGAATATGAATTTCGTATGATGAAAGCTGGTTTTTCCTGTATTTCTTTAAAGTGTATTGGACCTTGCTGTGCCATGCAATGACCTGAGATGAGCTTGACCTTTTCAGGATTACTTTTAAGTTTTGTTACAGCAATGAGAAGACTTTAGGGCTAAATTAGCCTCCCTGCCAAAATGTGATGCTAATGATTCCATCTATGCCTTTCTGCTCTGGCTACAGGAATATGAAATTTCCAGTCCTGCTGTTTGTGCTTACTGTTTTCTGATGGTCCTTTGCTTATGGAATTTTGTCCTATGCATGGACAGAGGGGTACTCAAGTCAAACACTCAAGGGTACATTTTTGTTATTGTTTTGAGACACGGTCTCCCCATAGTCTCATCTGGCCTGGAACTCCCTATGTAGACCAGGCTGACTGGCCTTAACCTCACAGAGATCTGTCTGCTTCTGCCTCCCAAATGTTGCGATTAAAGGTCTGTACTACCATGTCTGGCCCAAGGTTATTTTTAATGGTTACTTGCAGGATTATTATCAATTACTATTAAGGCAAAATTTAAAGTACAATTTTGTTATTTACCATGAAATAAAATAAGCTTTAAGAAGGTTAATTTTGGGAGCTGGAGAAATAAATGGCTCAGCAGTTAAGAGCACTTGTTGCTTTTGCAGAGGACCAGAGTTTGAGTCCCAGTACCCACATGGCAGCTAACAATCATCTCTAATTGTAGTTCCAGAGAAATCTGATGCCCTCTTCTGACCTCTGTGGGCCCTGCACAACATGGGTGCACTTACATTCATGCAGGCAATACATTTATACATTAAAAAATTAAAAAAGAAA